ACAATAATATAGATATATTGATATTGCATTTGAAGGTTAAAGTTCAGGACTGTTTCGTGGATTTTTCATATATTTCCCAAAAAAAAAAAACGTATAGAGAAGAAAATATTAATTTTGGGGAACTTACGGTTGCATCTAACCAGCTCAACTTAAAATTGTTTAAGAGATCTTTTTTAATCTTTGTACTGCGCTTAATTAAAAAAAAACTAAACCATAAAGAAGAGCTCATCCGAACAATTACCATGAAAGTATTTATAGAAAAAGCAAGGAGAGGCAACCTTACGGTGGTGGGAAAATAAGTGAAGCCGAGACGCCAGATCAGGACCAATAATATTGCAGATGTTGTCAGAGATATGCGTTTCAATGTGTCGAGGATCCAGGAAAAGCTCCTTGGCCTTACGGAGTGTCTGCATCGAATCAATGGCTGTATCTATTGCAAGGAAAGTTTGGTCTCAATATCAAATCCGCCAGAGCTGACAAAATAAACCTGGCTGCTGCTCTTGAAATGGCTCCTAAATTTTTAAACGAATAAAAAAACTAAACTGCTCTGATTTAACTTATTTGTCGATGATTCAGTAATAAAGGCAATGAATGATTTCAAAAACAATTTTATTAATGAAGTAACATTAAATATATATATATATATATATATATATATATATATATATATATATATATATATATATATATAAAAAAGAAAACAGATTTTTGAGGTATCATTATAATAATTTATTTCACCAGAGCCCAGGGATTAAAGGACGCCGGATAACAATTCCAAAAAAAATGAAATGAAACGAAAATGAAATTAAAATTGATGGGTATTGTAAGTGTTTTTGTAAATTAACAGAAAGTGTAAAAGGAATGGTTAAAGAGACATGGTAGAGTATATATATATATATATATAATTTTATATCTCTCTAAGAATACTTTTTGTATTGGGGAGGAGGATATACCAGACCTTGACCTATTTATATATTTAACTTAACGGAAGTGATATATTGAAATTGGAGGGGAGTAGGGAAAATTATTTATAATTATATGTATATATATATATATATATATATATATATATATATATATATATATATATATATATATTTGGTTGGATAGATGTGAGTTTGTGACCCTGGGTTTCACGCTTTAGCGATCGTCAGACAAACTGATTAATTTTTTTAAAATTTGGGTTTATGTAGATTGCGTGTATTGGTGTTATTGTGGAAGTGGTGGGGAAATTTCGTCGCTTTTGTCATCGTACTAACGCAAACATCGATGTATGCAGACACATATACATACTTGGTCGTCCGTCAGGACTCATACATATATAAACATATGTGGGCAGTTTCGGATATGACATATGTATTATGGGTATGTTATATACATACGGTTTGTATGTTGAAATGTTATAAATTTAAACATGTGGCGGTAATGTTGAAATGTTGAAATTTAAAATATTTTTTAGTGAATAATATTTCCTTGACTGAATATTTATGTATATACGTGTGTGTGGGGTTTGTGTTAAATTATGATAGGTAAAATTATTATTATTTATATTTATTTTTTTAATTTTTTGAAAAAATGGGGTTTATTTGTTATATTTAAAGCTGGTTATTTGTTTGTTTTTGGTGACTGTGTATATGTAACAGGTAGAAATTTGTAATCCTTATTGGTTAATTTATATGGTGATGTTTAATATTCAATGTGCTGGGTGAGAGGGTAGTGCAATTTAATAACGGATCTATATGATATGATGTGATAGTAATGTTGCAAGGGATTGGGGACAGTGATAATATAATTAGCTAATAGTTATTGTAAATTGGTAGAAATTGTAAATTGGTAGAAATGATTAGTAACGGTGGTGGAGAATAATAAAACCATGAATGTAGTTATAGTGGCGGTAGCTTGAACTAAAAAGTGGTTGTTGGTGTTTATTTTGTTATATGTATTAATTTATTTTGGTATAAATCCTGATAATAGGTATTCTCTGTAAAATTATGGTAGTTGAAGATTGCTATAATTTTTAATTTTTAATTTATAAAATTATTATTGTTATTATATTAAAGCTGGTTATTTCCTTGTTTTTTTTTGTTTTTTGTTTGACTGTATATGTGACTCGTAGAAATTTCAATTTGTAATCCTTATTGGTTATTTTTATGGTGGTATTAAATATGCTGGGAGAGTGGGTAGTTTACGTTAATAATTATGGCAGGATTATATGGTAATGGTAGATATGGTGTGATAGTAATATGTAAGGGGGTTGGTAGCAATAATAATATAAGTGGTTAATATTTATTGTAAATTGTTAGTAGTGATTAGTAATGTTGGTGGGAGAATAATAAAAACCTATAAATGTAATTATTGTGGTGCTAGCTTGAACTAAAGAGTGGTTGTTGGTGTTTTATTTTATTTTATTTTCTATATTTATTTGTTTATTTTTATTTATTATGAATCCTGGTAATAGGTGTTTATTCTCATGGTTACATATGGAAATTATATCTGATCATATTGTTTTAAGGTATTAAATATGCTGGGGGAGTAATATGCGTTAAAGATTGTAGTGGATTTATATGTTAATAGTAGGTGTGATGTGTGAGCGATGGTGCTGGGTGTTGGTGGGAATGATAATATTATTAGTTAATAGTTATTGTAAAGTGGTAAAAGTGATTACTAATGGTGGTGCTAAATGGTGTTAAAACGAACATAGGCAAATATTCCTAAACTTATTAGAAAAACACTTCACTGAAGCAAACAAATTATCAAAAATATTTAACAAAAATAACGTAAAGATCAGTTACAGCTGTTTCATGTCATTTCCTCTTTAGCCAGCTTACCCTGATGATCAGTTTAGGTGGCTCTTTAGGATTTATTCCATATATATATATATATATATATATATATATATATATATATATATATATATATATAGGGTTACTAAAAAAGATGAAGAATTTCCTCACGCAATTTTTTAATAAGGAAAAGCAATAGAAAACTCCAGCCAAGTCACAAGGATTCTACTCATAATCAACTTTTATTTCCTGTCTATCAAGTGTTCAGTATGGCCACCACTTGCAGAACGGGCAACATTAATGCGATAAAATAATTCCTTCCCGACGCATATCAGCATATCACGATCCGCTGAGTTGGTCGTTTTTGTTATTCGATGTTTATGGTCATCGAGGTTAGTGTGTAGCGGTGGAATATAAACGCGATCTTTTACGTATCCCCACAAGAAAAAAAATCACACACCGTGAGGTCTGGGGATCTCCAAGATCAAGCTCAAAAAGCAAGTGCCTGAAAGAGGCATAGTCTGTAAGGTTTCTGTTGTGGATTCCGTGGATGGAATCCTGCACAAATAAATAAACAACGCCAGTAATTGAGATAGAAAAATAAGTGTATTAAACGTAAGAATACAGACTTGAAGTGAAGATTAGTAGTCCAGGAATGTGGGTTAGTAGAAAGTATATGTACAAGTCTCTGTAAGTTAAGCCGTAATCCTCTCTCTCTGGACTCTTGTATAACTCTCTGAGAACACCCTGTGTCTGTCTCCGTATCTCTCAACGTATCTCAAACGTATCTCCACGTATCTCACCAGCAGGTATTTTCTCTTGCAGTATAAGTATACTTTGGACGAGTCCATCTGATGTAAAAAGGGGAAAACCCCATAACAGTTTCCAATGCAGACGTCTTCTTAGGACACGCCAGATAGTGGATTGAGAGATTGCAAGGTCACGGCTAGCTTGATTTCCCTTGTGCAAAAGCCCTTTTTTCCCCCACCAGCTCTGGGTAAATAGCAAGGTAGACTGGCTACTATGGGCATGGCTGGCAACCGGTCTATGAGAAGGACAACTCCGCATTTAAATTAAAAGCCCGAGTAGGGTCGTTCGGGGAACTTGTTCCACATTATGTACACACTATTCGATCTACACAAGCTTTCATCACTATAATCAAATCTCATATGCGGCTCAAATAACTGAACTGCTGGTTCCTCATGCGTAGAAAACGACAAAAGGTTCCACATATATATATATATGTATAGAAAATATAGAAAATAGGAAAGAATTTTTAAATAAATAATTATACATATATATATATATATATATATATACTGAACCTCATATATATATATATATATATATATATATATATATATATATATATATATTTTAAAATTATGAGATCAATTGAATCCGCTACCTTGGTTTCAACCTTACGGTATCCTCAGGCGATTTTTATCAATTGACCTCCAAACTCTTTATTTTTTTAATAAACTTGATTTATGGGGTTATGTATTAATTCTATCTATGTTGTTAAATTTGTGATTAAATCGATTGCGATAATTATTAATTCTGTAGTGAAAGGGCCAGATTTTACTACATAATGTTTCTGGCATAGTGTGCATTCTAGGAGGTAAATTATGTTATGACTTCTACAGTTAGAATCGTGGTAGATTTTGAAAGTAGACTTAGTGACTGGGATAGTGAACAAATTGGTATGTCTAATGTGGTTAGAACATAAGCTTCTTTTGTTGTTACATGTTTGGGAAAATCCTGTTGTTTTTATTTTTGGTCTATTACGGGTTAACTTATCCTCTGAAATGTGGTTACTACCTGTAATTTCTTTAAGGTTCTTAGGTCTACGATATGCTAGAAGCCAAGGTTCCTCAAACAAAATTTTTAGATTTGGTTTGAGATGTAGTATTTTCCAGCGACGTTTGATTATCTGGGATAGTGGAGGCAGAGTAGCGTTGAAAGGGGTTACTAGACGGATGCGTCTGGATTTATCTATCCAAAATATAGAAGGAGAAAGGCAGAAGATGGAGACAACATTTTCTTATTTCTCTGTGTAGATGTCGTTAAGCACGGGTTTTTAATGAAAATAATTGCTTTAAGGCTATTCATGGTTTATATAAGTATCACCCCTCCTGTAGGATTTAACTTTGGTAAGAGTTTTTTTTTTTTTTGCTTGGACATGACATTCTAGGCAATCTAGCCACTCGTTTCCTTTTATAGATAGATAGATCTGAACAGATTTAGATAGATAGAGAAATAGATAATGAAAAAACTGAGATAGATATATAGATAGATATGAACATAATGAGATAGATAATAGATAGATCGATAGAAGTGAATGGGTTGAAATACATAGATAGATAGATTTGTTTGAGGCTCAGATAGATAAATAGATATGAACAGACTGAAATAGATAGATAGATAGATATAAATTGGCTGATATACATAGATATATACATACATAACTTTGTTTAGGCTCATATATATATATATATATATATATATATGTGTGTGTGTGTGTGTGTGTGTGTGTGCGTGTATGTATGTAGATAGATAGATAGATAGATAGAGAGATAGATAGATAGATAGATAGAAAAACTGAACAGATTTAGGTAATGAACAGACTGAGATAGATATATAGATATGAACACGAGATAGATTTGTAGGAGCTGAGATAGATAGATAGATAGATAGATAGATAGATAGATATGAATAGGTTGAAACATATAGATAGATAGATACGTATGTAGGTAGATAGATTTGTAGAAGCTCAGATAGCTATTTAGAGAAATCTGAAAGGTTTCTATAGATAGATAGATAGATAGATAGATCAGAACAGATTTAGATAATGAACGGATTGAGATAGATACATAGATAGATGTATAGATAGACAGATCTGAACAAATTTAGATAGATAATGAACAGACTGATAAATAGATAGATAGATAGATAGATAGATAGATAGATATGAACAGATTGTTAGCATAGAACTTTAAATCTAAGAATTTCAACTGTAAAATGATGAGACCTTGCCACCAATCAAGGAATGTGCTTAAATACATATAAACAGACTCCGACAGACAGACTGACAGACAGACAGATAGATAGATAGATAGATAGATAGATAGATAGATAGATAGATAGAAGTAAATGGGCTGTAATAGATAGATCTGAACAGATTTTGATAGATAATAAACAGACTTAGATAGATAGATATCAACACAATGAGTTTGATAAATGCTGCATACTCCCTCTCTTTTGTGGGGTCTTTACCACTGCGCCAAATAAGCAAAATGTTTTATAGCCCCATCGTTCTGGAGACCTCTTAGTTGAGTATTTTGAGGCGATCATAAAAAAAGTTGTCTTCCTCAGTTTCTTCTCTCAGGGTGATCGGTAGTCGGTTTTTCGTTCGGAGGTAAAATGAGAACTTCAACAAAACGGATTTTGAACTTATCTATTTTATTAAACACGTCGACGTGTTAATTTTTAGCTATTCAGTGGGGTCCCTCTAACACTGGGGAGAAGTTTCCATACACGAAAATAACACGTCTACATTCTTCGACGTGTAAAACATAACTCACTGAAAATACTTTCTAATTCTAACATTACCACGTTAGGCTCAGCCTTTCCAAATCCACATCCCTATTTTGTCTACCATCTGACCTTAAAGTCAGCCTCAGAAGGTCCGAGTCAAAATACACTGCCACTAAATAGTAATAACTTGAAACTATTATTTAACATTCAGTTGTGCCCCACGTAAATGTTTAAAGAAATAACAAAACACGTATTACAGACATATATTAAACATAAGTACAACAGAAGAGTATTACATGGCTAGTGAGTGTGTGTCTGATGACCCAGCATTCAATCTATTTGACTGTTATATTTAACAGCACCCGACCACGATGTACGCCGTACAAGGCCGAGTTTACCGTGGGTTTTCCGAGTCCATAGGCTCGGCGCAATATATTCCCTTCGAACCCGTATAAACGAGTTCAGGGTCTGTCTATCTCCCCGGACGAAACTTTCGGCAAAGCCTCGTCCGGGTTCCTCTCTGCTCGACGCAGAAAGTTCGACAGTTGAACAATCTATTCAACTGTTGATATTTAACAGCCCCCTCTCCCTCTCACAAGGCCGAGTTTACCATGGGATTTCCGAGCCAGTAGGCTCGGCCAAAAATATTCCCTTCAAACCTGTATAAAGGGGTTCAGGGTCTGTCTACCTCCCCGGACGAAACTTTGCCCTTGCTCGAAGCAGAGAGTTCGACAGTTGAACAATCTGGTCGATTGTTAATATTTAACCCCCCCCCCGAGGGTGTATGTGGAACAAGGCCGGTTTATTGTGGGTATTTTGAGCCCGTAGGCTCGGCCAAAAATATTCCCTTTGAACTTGCCTAAACGTGTTCAGGGTCTGTCTACCTCCCTGGACGAAACTTTGCCCTTCGGCAAAGCCTCGTCCGAGCAGAGAGTTCGATAGTTAAACAATCTATTCGACTGTTTCTCCAAGCCTTTCTCTACTACTAATTTTATAGTAGGCGGAAGAGTCCAACATGGATTTTTTTGAGGGTGGACACCACAACACATTCCTACGTAGCCATAAAAAATCATTTATGAATTTTATTTTATTTTATTTAACACCTCTTATCCAACCATCAAAAAGACTCATTCAAGAATTTTATTTAAACTATTTAATCTAAAACACCTTCTTTTATTTCGTGAATGCAAGGCGTGTTACTTAAAAATTGTTTCTCAATGAGCCTCGGTCACATGACTTCTCCAGCATGCACATATACAATCCCTGAAATAGAACGAACATAAACAATAAACTTTGACCAGTTTTTTTCACGCTTCACACACACACACATATATATATATATATATATATATAAAACAGAATGCCGGACAGTCCTTTGTCTATTTTTTGTTGACTAGCTTCCGTGACCCAAGGTCATCGCCACAGACACCAGTCTGGATACAAGTCACTCCAACAATGAACTTTTACCTCTCCAATATCACCTCCACCCTGGTCAGTAGCTATCATATCTTCAATCCAATATTCCTGGGAGGAAAAAAATTTCTTGTCTCTTCACTTGAGACTACACGGAATTTACATACAATTCATTGAAAAACAAATATACTGTTCCAAAAAACACACAATAGATGCCAAAAGCCCCACGCCACAGCGTCAAAAAATTTCGAAATTGAGCCACGTCCTTGCCACCTAATTTTTTACACGTTAAATGTTATGATCTAAGCTCTCTTCCCTCTTCACAAGACACATGGTTCATTATCACCCTATTTATTCAAACAACCAATTAATGGCTTTTTAATTGCATTTAACCAGATTTACTGGAAGAAATCTTCATAATTTTTGCCCCCATTATTTCCTATAGTATCTGTTATTGCTCATTTGTTTCTGTTTGCTCAAAACTCAGCTCTCACCATCTCTATTTACTCCTGCCCTTGGCTGCACCCTACGGGGAAAAACACACCCTACCCAGCACCTTCTAATCCATTGCTGGCTTTACCTTGATTACAAGAGTTCCTTCAATTCTTAATCGCTACCGCAACTTGCCTTCCCACCAGCCGCCTGACCAATTCCACTGGTTCATCGGGGGCCCCAAAACTTGGCCGTGGGGGTATCTTATGGTATATTTATTCGATTATAAAGACTTCATGGCGCATTCTACTCTTCTTAAATCATAGGGTCCTTAACTGCATAGCTTGATGGGGCCAATTTCACCCCAGGACAGAGTACATTGGGAAATCAGAACCCTTGTAAGCTGAATCTAATTATTACCACAACAATTAGTTAATTGACTTTTCCCACAACAAAAAGAATTCTGAAAATTCACCAATTCATAACTTAATTTGTTAGCCATGTTCACCATAGTCTATGAATATAGAATACAGCGCAGTACTTAATCTGTTCAATGAAACAAGGTTAAAGATTAACACTCACGAGTCAGACTCTCTACTGAATCTGACTATATCGCCAATACCACCAGCAGCTGTTCCGTAATTCTTCAGTCTTCGATATCAAAGGCTGGCAGTGTATATTCGGGAAAAAACATGGCCACCTTTATACACGTCGCATTGAATATTTTGAGCCTTCTGATTGGTTAACTCTTCTATTGGTGAACTATAAAATGAGTCAGCTCCTTTTGGCTGGCTCACTAGTATACCAGGGTACCCAAAAATTCCAACATAATTAACCAACCAATGAAGGCAAAAGAACACACACGAGTCTTAAATTAAAAAAAATCCACCCACTGTTACGAAAATGAAAAAAACAATTATTTGTCAGTTAGTTAAGAAAACAATTCTAAACTTGATAGTCAAAAACTAATTTCAACTCAGAAGAGTACACATAAATTACAGTAAGAATGCCCCATAACAAAATGCCATCAGTCTTCCTTTTCCAAAATTTTTTCCATTGCGTTCATGAACACAAATTCAGGCTTCCATGTGACCAATCGTCGAAATTCCTCAAAGCTCAACATTAGGAAATATTTTGGTCGCATTTTTCGTGGCTAGATTTTTTCTACAACAAATTAAAAATTACAACTGCATCAACATGAAAGCATGCCAAACATGATAAAATATTTAAAGCGTGCCAATAAAAAAAAAAACAAAAAAAACAATAATTTTTTCCACATTGCTTTTGTCAAAACCAAACCAAACATAAAACTTACTCTATAGTTTAGATTGTGTCCTTTTTTTCTGCTCTATTCGTCATCACTTTTATCTGTCCATCAAACCTAGCCGTTTTACTGTTTTTTTCCTTTTTTTTTTCATAATTACTTCCTATTTTTCTTGTTGAAGATGTGTGCGCGTCTGTGCGCGTCTGTGCGCGTGTGTGTGTGGGAGGAGGGCAGTAGAACAAAGTAATATCATCGTACTTATAAACTGTCCAATATATATATGTATACTAAATTTTTCTTTCTTTTTTCATATTTCCGTTATCCTTTTTTTTTGAGTCCTCCGTCGAAATTTTCTCCGAACTTTTAGCTTTAGTGAACTCAACAGTTGTCTGAATCGTTTTCAAGAAGAGAGAGCAAGATCTAAAAGGTCAGCCAAACTAGCAGTGAGTTCATCCCACAATCCTCACTCTTACTCCATATGTGGCCTCTTTTGTAAATCACTAGCGGGTCTTATGTGCCACTTATGATTATCGCACAAACTTTCATAACTGAATCAATTGGTTAAGTTGTCAGACCCTCATACGTCGAAACCAACGGGATAGTCCATTGCATATATATATATATATATATATATATATATATATATATATATATATATAGAGAGAGAGAGAGATGGATAGATATGAACGAACTGAGATAGATAGATAGATAGATAGATAGATAGATAGATAGATAGATAGATAGATAGATGTAACTGAATCAATTAAGTTGATAGAATCTCATACGTCGAAACCAACGGGAGAGTTCATTGTATATATATATATATATATATATATATATATATATAGACACAGAGAGAGAGAGAGAGAGAGAGAGAGAGAAAGTGAGAGAGAGAGGGATAGATAGATAGATAGATAGATAGATAGATATGAACGGACTAAGATAATATTGATAGATAGATAGATAGATAAATAAATTATATGTCTCAAGGAACCCCAGCGCCAAAACAATATTAGGCAATATATCTTCGGAATGTTTCCTCTTCAAAACTCGCCTCATTGGGTGATTAGGTATTTCTGCAAAAAAAGAAAAAAAAAAGAAAATTAGTAACTTTAAGTACAGGTTACATTCGCTGAGTGGGCATTAACTAGTGAATATGTTTTCACACAAGTGCCGTACAGACATCACTAAATATATTCCTAATAATTGTTATATTTTTTTAATAATAGGTTAGATAGGATGATGTCTATATTACAATATAACCAATAATATATATTGTGTGTTTAGTAATATTGCGTATATGAAATTAAATAAAAAGTCAAAAGTGCATTAGCTTATCTCACCTGTTCTCACAGAACCCTTAGATACCTTTTACCAAACCTTAGAGTTCCGGGGAATCCCGGTTGAGAAACGCTGCATTAGAGGTTTGACAAAAATCGCATTAATTTATAAGTAATAATCATTTACGGTGAATATACGCCTAGGATCACACAAGATAATTCTCTTGTTCCCCAAATTACTACTAATATAGGGATTTCCTAAGCCCGGCTTAGATGTGGCACAAGGCCGAAAGTATGGTGCACCCAGTGAGGATCGAACTCACTACTCAGTCGTAATTGATCTAGCAAGACAAGCTTTCTAACCATTACACTACGTCGAGGTGCCTAAATTACTACTAATATGTAAGAAATAGGAATTAAACAGTTTAAGTGTTGAACATCATAAGTTTATTATGTGTTATAGTGGAACACACCTATTCTATAGTTAATAGAACTCCCACCTATAATAAGTAGGAGTAGTAAGAGTAACGAGTCAGTCGGTCAGTCAGTTGACTGGCTGATCGGTTGAACTCTCTGCCTTTAGGTGGGGAGGAATCCGAAGGAGGCTACGCTGAAGGGCGGATTCTCTTTCCGGGAGGTAAACCGACCCTGAACCCGTTTATACGGGTTCAATGGGCATATTTTTGCCCGAGCGCACGGGCTCGGAGATCCCACGTTAAAAAGGCCTTGTGCCATATGACGCCCTCGTGGTGGGGGGTGACTGAATATCGTCGGCAGTGAGTTGGTCAGTCAGTCGATGTCGGACGACCGTTAGTCGGATACTAAAATATCAGCGACAACAACTAGATTACTCTGCGTTATACCTATTATATCAAGTTCCTAACGTTTTGTACGTCGAACCTATTTTAGGACTGACTTAGTACAAATACAAGCTTCCACTGTGACATCACTCCACAACATTATGGGACCGATTTCGTACGTGTTCAATATGTGCACCGCCTGTGAAATGGCACACGTCAAGTCGGTAGTTAAGCTCTTGCCAAACACGCTGTAGGATGTCTCCTGTAACATTATCCAGTGCGGAAGTGGTTCTCTGCTTCATTAATGCTAACAGGGTGAGTGGGGACATAGACCACACCGTTCATATATCCCTATAAAAAGAAATCACACAGGGATAGGTCCGGTGATCGCGGCGGCCATTTCATCTCCACCACTCCAGATCCATCTCTCTGGCAGCTTCTCAATGAGATAAGCACATACTGTCGTCTTCCATTAAATACAAAATCTTGATCTGTTGAAATAACCTCAAATTCTGTAAAAATTTGAGGTTATTTCAACAAGAATTGTCAAAATTATTGGCCTGCGAAATGAAGTCAAATTTTTGGGGACAATATATCATTCATGCGAAAATGAACGAACAGACTCGATTGGAATTCAAACTCGACTCGTCGATTCCCCCCCCTTTCGACGCCAATAACTGTTGCGCCACCTTTGCGTCTATTTCCGTTATTCTTGTAGCTATTTCAAGAAAGCTCCTTACTCAAATATCTCAGATCGATTCATGTCTTTCGTTATTTCACAGATGGAGGTGAAAACCTCTGGCCGACAAAGAAGAAATATTTTCTGATTCAATCTTGCCTGTCGATAACGAATGCTTTATGTACGAAAAACCAATTCTTTACCAATAACTGTAAAGTATTTGTCTTACTGATTACATAGGAAATTAAATTAACGCAATGAAATAAAAATCTTAGCTTTGGGCAGAAGAAGAATTCTTGCACTTCGACAGACAATCAAAGAAAACCTTTTATTTTTTGTTACCGAATTTGTACAAAACAAAGCTGACAATTTCTGAAACACTCACTTTTCTACGGTAAACAAAGTATTTTTTAATCATCTCAGCCCCAGGCAAGGTAATAAAGCCACTAAGGCGCAAGGGATTATTGAATGCGAGAGAAAAAAACATTATGAACAATAAAAGAAGAGGAATGAAGACACAAGATAACGATTGAAATTGCTTTAAAAAGCCTGTAATGATTATATGCATTTTACATGGACCTCCTTCGAGATTATTTGCCTAAAAATAATATTAATTAATATTAATAATTTTAACACTAATCATTATCATTAATAGTTGCGTCATTCTCACTGGGTGCTCCTCAATCCCGGCCTTGTGTCACATCTAAGCTGACACTTCGAAACGGTGTAATTCTTAGTAAACTTCTCTCGCTAGATCACTTACGTCTGAATAGTAAGTTCGTCCCTCACTGGGTGCTCCATACTTCCGGCCTTGTGCCACATCTAAGCTACGCTTAAAGAATCATTGTGGGCACTAGCAAGCTTGTTGTGCTAGATCAATTACGACGGAATAGTCAGTTCGATCCTAACTGGGCGCTCCATACTTTCGGTCTTGTGCCATATCTAAGCGTCGTGTAATAGTTAGCATGCTTGCCTTGCTAGATCAATTATGACTAGTGAAGACGAATAGTGAGTTTGATTCTTGCCTGGTGCTCCACACATTCCGCCTTGTGCCACTTTAAGCTCCTTTTAGGAAATCACCTTCGAAGTAGTGTAATGGTTAGCTAGCTTATCTCGCTAGATCAATTACAACTGAACAGTGACTTTGATCCTCACTGTGTGCAGCTTTCATCTAAGTTACAGTTAGAAAAAAATCATTATCATTGATACATACGTAGTCTATTGATCGAATTCGGCCGATCTATTCTCCATCCCTCTTCAAGCTTAGAAAACTTCGATAGAATCTAATTGTTATGCATTGCGTTGTTTGGAATATAGTTACTCCTGTTTCTAAGACTGTAGAAGGAATTAGATGAAATGTTGTAACTTAGTACACTTTAGGAAGGCTGTAGAACTTATCCGCCGAAAATTTAGAAGCCTGAAGATAATAATTGACATTGCATTTCATTTTTGAAGATCAAACTTAAATGGAGAGCAAGAAGTCGGAAGACAGTTCCACAAGCGAGAAGTGCGAAATAAGAAACCATTAGCATAGGAGTTACTGTTACAACTATCCATTTCAATTCTAAATTGATGAGACCTATCTGCCAATCTAGTACTACGCTTAAATTCATAAAGTCTAGGCAGCATAGACTAACGTTCATCAGAACAATTACCATGAAATTATTTACAGAAAAGACACAGGGAAGCAACATTATGCCGGCGGGAAGGTGACTGAAGCCGATATGCCAGGTCGGGACCATTAACATTACGGATACTTATTTGTATTTTATCAAGAATCATTATATACATGTGTTATGGTCCGGTTCCTTGTACGACGGTGATAGTCCAAGATAGAACTAATAAAGAACTCGAAGGCGGATATGGAATAACACATAATACAAACAGAAATATATACAGAGAGGTAGAAAAGTGTTAGTACGAACAATCAGGTTTAGTAGTAATTGTCTGAACGCGACTCTGTTTCGGACTGCCTCTGACTCGACTGACTGACTCGCTTGCTCTGACTGACTGACAGACTCCTGACGGACCTCACTCCAGACTTTAGACTGAACTCAGACTTCAGACGGAACTCCCTGCTTCCTCTTGAGGCGCAGTATTTATTACGTATGGAATAACACATTATGTTATTATGTGTAAGGTCCCCTAACAACATGGCAGATTTTGAACACTGGAGTAATTTTGAACAGGGATTTTAATAGTGAATCTCAAAAAAAAAAAAAACTTCCCAAAAGCCTTCCACCCACTGCTTACAAAAACAGAACTGGAAGGGCTTAGACTGGTCTACAGGACTTTTAAGTGAAAATCTGAATGCTCCTTCTTCAGTTTAAAGCAGTAGAAAACCCTCATCGAAGGCTGATAACATTCAGAACTAAATACCAGTTAAAAAGGGAGGAGTGGAAAGACTTAATATATACAGTGTGTTCGAGCTAAATTTGATAGTATTTTATTTTTTAAATTTTGTTTGGAATATCTATAAACAGTGAGCGGCATTGTGAAAAGCAGTCACTACAGTTTTAGAGGTGTCAAAGTTAACTGAAGTTTAACTGAACAGGAAGATCCTTGAGGAAGATTAGAAACATTGTAGGACCCAAAACAGAATGTTGGGGAACACCAGTGTTTGTATGAAAGTAACTAAGAAGAGAGCCCGTTCTTCATTTCCCGATTCGGTAGGAATTATTAAATTAAATTAAATTAAATAATCATCTAATACCATAGCCCTGAAGCTTACGTAGAATGCCAGTATACCAAACCCTGAAAATTGCCTTCGAGATGTCAAGAGCCTCAGCTCTAGTTCCACCGTTATTATGAAGACCGTGGTATACATATTCAGTTATAGCCGTATGCACATCAGCAGTAGACCGGGCAAAAAAAAAAACATATTGTTTGTCAGAGAGTAGATCATGGGAGGTAAGATATTTAATCATTTCGCCATTAATTAAAGCCTCGAAGATTTTGTGTTATATTCTGTGCTAATAGGAATAGGTACTTAAAAAACAAGGTAGATAAAATAAGTAAAGTTTTTTTTTTTGTAAAAAACCAGTACAATAAGAATAAAGGTAACAGTTATGCACAAGGTCGTCGCAAGTCAATCCAGTAGTGAGTGCTACTATTGGAATGTCGGTAGTTCTCGCGCAAGTCTGAGTCGTACTCAACAGATCCCAGCTAGTAACATTTACTAACCTCCTCACGAAATGGCATAAAGCCGAATTTAATGTGGGGTATTCCGATCCCGTAGGCTCGGCCAAAAATTCCCCGTAAACACCGCATAAACGGGTTCGGGTCTGTTTACCTTCCTAG